ATATATATATATATATATATATATATATATATATATATATATGCACGTACATATACATCGAAATAAAATTTTCAAAAGGATCGGAGGAGAGTAAAGCGACCGACGATCGATCCTCGAAGACCAGATGGTCTTTGATTCTCGGATGTGATTTAATTTCACGAAAACGAAGTTTCTCTTCGATCGAGTTTTTGATTCGTTTATCCCTCACGGACGGATTAACGGATGGACGGCTTAGGGGAGACGAAGCGAGATAAGATTTCGTTTTCGTGTACATATCTTCGGTGTTTCGAGACAAACCGTTTTCTCCACGTACGTGCACAAGTCCGTTGTGCTTCTCTGTCCGCTAGTGTGTTCCGCGCGATGAATCGAGGGTAGCCTTCAATTCTCCCGAGTAATTAAGGTCGGGAAGATGCGCGCCCGTGTCTCCGATGCGAGGGTATGCATGCGCACCAGCGTCGTGTGATTACTTATTCACGACGTGAGAGCGCGGAGCAGTCGTCTCCAATTAGTTCTAGTCGATCTAATTCAATTCAATTCCACTGGTGTGAAGCGGTCAGGAATACGTACGAGAATAGCGTGTTGTGTAATCGTCGCGCTTATACTCACGATTAAGCGTCATTGATGTCAATTCTACTTATTGATTCATTGCGTCGCATAAAAAATCTACCTCGCGCACCTCGCGAAGCATTTGGCGTTCGATGTGCTTCATCAGTTCCGGGAAGACGTGGGGCGCGCGACACGCGAATGAAACGTGGCAAGGAATAAACGCAATGTTTATCGATCCGCGCGACACTCTGAAACGATCGAGCAATGGAAGGCACCGGAAGGTGAGCGACTCGTCATCGGGAATTTGTCGCGAGGATATGAATCATGCCGTCGGGCGCCTCGAGTTAGCCACGCAGCAGAAATACGGCCATGACATAAATCGCGTCTGAGATTCTCGGAACTTTTAATTCCTAAAATTCTTAGATTCTAATTCTCAAAGTTCTTAAGCTCTAATTTCTAAGATTTTTCTCAGATCCTAATGTATTAAAGTATTAAAGTATTTTTTTTTTTATTTCTCATTTAGAGAAAAAATTACAGTTTATTCTGATTTGTTTCTTATTTATTATTTCACTTTGTCTTTACAGAAAAAGTAGCAGGATTAATTTTGTTTTGTTTGAATATTAAATTTAATGTCTCTCCTCTCATGGCCGCGCTCGTAACGGAGACACGCGCCGTGCATATTGTTCGACATTCGATCGTGCATCTTCCAAAGTATCGACGCATTGCGACGCGTCGGTCGCTTAAACGGGCGAGATTGTTGGCAGGTGCCGACAAATCGCCCGTGAAATGCTTTTGCAACCTATATTTCTTCTCGTTTTACTTTCGTCCAGCTGCTCCGCCACATTACCTCGTTGAAAGGACGCGTGGCCGCTGTGTGGAAATCGCCCCGCGACTCTCGGAACTGTCCGACGTCATTTTCCCACGTGGACGATGTGATACGCTCGATTGGAACCAGCGACGTATCTAAACAAAGTTGTGTCGCAGTCGGGGGGAAGACGGCGATTGAATATAAATCGTCGTCGATTTATTTGCCTCCAATGGAGTGCTTATCGTCCGGGTAGAACGCCAACGGAGAACCCGTCGGGAAATCAAATCGTCGTAGAGTAACCGTTCACCATTTCAGAAATCTGTGTGTTGACGAATGTTCCTTTAAAAATAAAATTTTCGCAAAAGTAAATTGCCATAAACATCTTGATAATCGAGAACGACTATTGTCTTATCCGCAAGTATACATAAGAGAATGTTATTTTTGCGGGCTTGAAAAAGTTACTTTTTGAAGATAGCTTGTTACTAGGGTTCGATAATAACTAATTAATCAGCTGAAAGTTAAGTTGAAAAATTAAAAAGATAGTAACATAAATTAGTTAATTTAACTTAGTTTATTTTCAAATGCATTAACTTTAACTTATTAACTTCTTTTATACAAGTTGAAAAATTTTATCAAGATTAAAATCGTCCCGAATTGTTTGTAAGGAGAATAAGAAACATAAAAAATAATGTCTGGTAGAATCTTGTCTCCTGAAATTCCAGTGTCCTTTTTTCATAAGGAGAATCCCCAGTAAGCACACATCAACTGTCAGTAACATAATATTAATGTTATAATTTCCCAATCAACAATGTAAATGTAATATAACGCGAGTGATATGTAACAGTTACATCGTTGAGCACAAAACACTCACAAACACAATTGATATTTTTTTTATGGTATGTATGTATTTTGGTATTTACCTTGAGAGGAACGATGAATATAAAATCGCGAAATGATCTTTTTAGGACATAGATACTTTTTCCTGTTACATTAAAATCGGAATAATATTATAGTAAAAAAAAACTGATTTAGCGGAAACAAAGTAAATTCTCCAATCTCGAAATTTTGTATTAATATTCTTCATCGTGAGTGAATAAAGTTAAGCGATGTGTTATTAGCTAGAATTAAGTTTCTTGCAAATGTATGATATACTATTTCGGATAATAAAAACAATTTTCATTCATAAAATAATTGAAACCGAATGTATGAATGGACGAGATAAAGTTGGCCCATAATTAAAAACCGGCAGTAGGACTGTATCTTTCGCATAAACCTCGAAACTGCTAATCAGGATTTATATTTTATATGGCTTTCTTACTCTGTGTTGTTGGATAACTAATCCCGATACCAGAGTAAGATGGTCACTTTGCTGTATTTGTTTCTTTTATTATTAAAAAACAAAAGATATGGTTAACAGGATCAGCAAGCATTAATGTATAGAAAAAGGCTGCCTCTATCGTGTTTTTACAGTCAGTCATAACAATTAATTGTCCGAGAATTTGTAACTTTGAAACTTTGAAATATGAGACTTCTAGCTTCTGTCTTCTCTATATGGAGAAAAAAAAATTTCTGACAAAATATTAGGTTAATCTATAAATCTGTGTGGATTTTTGTCTAGTTGGCATTCGCATGTTGACATTAGAAGGATAGTTTCATATAGTTTATCATTTATATATATATATATATATATGCTTTGACAGCGGATATTTCAGAGGATATTTTGTACGTGATCAAAATGTTTAAAGAAGCATACTTTGTGAGTGATCAAAGTAAAGAAGTATAGAAGTATAAAATAAAGAAGTATAGTTATCTTTGTTACTGCTTAAAGATGAAAGGTAGTACTGAGTTTTTTTTAATGCATTATGCTTTTTTATTTCCATAACAATTGTTAACGTTTGACTAGGATATTTCACCTCACCTGTCATATTCATTCAACATTACTCTCTCCGATTATCATCTGTTTCGCTCATCATAGAACTGCCTTGATGATATGGAACTGCCTTGACGGTATTAACTACGTTTTTTTAGAAGATATGAAAAATCACTTGGAGCGTTTCTTCACAAGAGAAGCACAAGAGGGAAATTATGAAATTATTTTATGAGAGAAGAATTATGAGATATTACTTGAAAGATGGCAAAAAGGAGATTGTCGCACAGAATCGCATATATTTTTTATTAAAATTGTTTTTAACAAGAATAAATTACATAATTGTTTTTAACAAGAATAATACATTTAATTTTTGTTTAAAAATTCACACGAACTTATAGATCAACTCCATATAAACAAACTAGAAATCACGGTTAAAGTTATGAGAATTCTATTCGAGTTAACAAGATTTCTCGTTAACTTGAACATGATTCTAATCTAATAGGAATTTTTTGTGGTTCGTACATATTTCACCAGAAATTTAGTTAATACAATCAAACGTTTCTTCCGTGTAATTATTAATTTTGTTTTTATTTAAGTAATTTCTAACTTAACTAAGTTAATTTTATAGTCCATATACACATATACTTACACACACACACACACATACTCTCTCTCTCTCTCTTTCTCAGCTTTAAACTTAGTTATAAAAAGAGCCGGTTCGTTACATTATTCGTTAATCATCGTGGAAATAATCCATTATCGTTGTCGTCACTCACTTTGAAAAAAGAAAAACTCGTTACTCACATGAAGTAAAACGTGTCGTTATAATCTCCATTATTGTTTCAATCACGTATTGGAGATTT